GCCTTGAATATCAGGTTAAAAAGCTTGGGCTAGCTGGGCGCGGTGGCTCACGCCTATAATCCTAGCACTTTGGGAGGCCGAGGTGGGTGGATCACCTGAGGTCAGGAGTTCAAGACCAGCCTGGCCATCACGGAGAAACCCTATCTTTGAGAAATAAATAAATAAATAAATAAATAGCTTGGGCTAAATTTGGAGGGCAGTGGGTAGCCATGAAAGGGTATTGAGCAGTGGGTGCATGGTCAAAATAGCCTATTAGCAGGCTTGCTTAGGCTGCTAGGAAGGCAGAGAACTGAAGTATAGGGCTAGGGACGGGCAGAAACAACTGTAAAGAAGCAGTAGCAGAGGATTTAGGGTGTCAGGTGTGTCAGGCCTAGTCCCTGTCAAGAAATGGAAACTTTTCAAGAGACTACATAGGTGTGGAGGAAATGAGAATTGAAACCTAAACCTTGCTAGAGCTGTGGTCTGGGCAGGTGCAGTAAGCAAGGGAAGTGAAAGGGTTGGGGTGACTGGCAGCCCAGCCCTGAAGGAGAGGAATAGCTTGTGGGTGATATTGGGGGCCTGTCCTCAGGCTGGAGTCCTGTTCCAGGACGGGGCAGGGTGAGGCGCTATGCCTGACCAAGCCCCTGACTCTTGCTCCTGCCCTCAGAGATTCCATTTCCTTCTGCCAGGCCCTAACTCTTTCTCCTGAGATATTCCTTCCCTACTCCCCACCCCTCCATATGTCCCATCCCCACCTTTCTCGCATCCCATGGTTCCTGCCCAGGTCCTGCAGGCCCTCCAGCAAGGCTGCCCCAAGTAGCACAAGTTCTTTGGCTTCTTCCACACTGACCTGCACTGCTCATGCTGCCTGAGCAGTAGTCTGAGCATGCTTTGCCTTGAGGCCTGTTTTGTTCTGTATTGTTGGTTCACCAAACTAGCCAGTTACTTCACTGTCACCGCACTGCAGGTGCCCCTGTCTTATCTGACTCTGCCCACAAGAGCTCTTGATAAGTCAGAATCAGACCGTTATGCTCCTAGAGAAGTTAGCTAGCATTGAGTATGTCTGGCCCAAAGCATGAACAATTGGAGAGGCTGTTTATGGGTTGTGCTGGTGGGTTCTTTGTTCTGGGGCAAGTCTTGACATGACTGTGTCTATTTTTTCATTTATTTGTTTGTTTATTTTTGAGTCAGTCTCACCTCATAGTCCAAGCTGGAGTGCAGGGGCATCATCACAGCTCATTGCAGCCTAAAGTTCCTGGGCTCAAATGATCCTCTCACTTTAGCCTTCTGAGTAGCTGGGGTCATAGGCATGCACTGCCACACTTGGCTAATTTTTAATTTTTGGTAGGGGTTATGAACCATGAGGGGTGAATTGCTTCCTGTTGGTCACCAAATACCTGACCCTCCACCTGGATCTGCCCATTCAGATCAATCATTTCCAGACACAGGCTCAGGTATTTGGGGATCAGCAGGAAGCAATTTACTCCAAACGGTTCAGATGAAGAGACTTTAATGAGAGGACTACTATAGTGAGATGTGGGCAGGTTAAGAGAAAAAAAGACAATGAGGCACCTGCCCAGAGGCTGGCAACAGTGGAAAAGTCTTATGGCCCAGGACTCAAATGGGTCAGGAATCATGTCCAAACCCAAGTGGAAGTCAGTTGGCAAGAAGGCCTGGTGAGGCAGCCCACAGGGGTCCACCTCCTAGGGCACAGTGCAGGGTATGGGTGTGGGTGCAAATGGAGACTAATGGTCTCCAGATGTGGCTGAAGAATTCTTACCCAGATGGAATATCTGGAAGATGCCTCTGGCGTTGATGCAGTCACTTCTCTGTGATCACTGCTGGTTTGGAGAAGGTTTTTCCAGCTGATCCAGAGAAAAGGTGAAGCTTCACCTTCAGAGTCATTCTGCTACCATCTAGAAAGCATGTTCTGGTTTTGACGGTGACATACTAGAGAGTGACAGCCATGTAGGCATCAAGGGTACCGAACTATTCCAACACAAATAGTGACATAGGCCCAGAGAACATCAGATCTGTGCCAAGGGCAAACAGGCTTAGGGCAGAACATAATAGAACATGGTAGAGGGGAGATGCTGTAAGCTGATGTTGGAGAGGTACACAGCATACAGATTACGCAGTGAAGCCCATGCAGCTAGAGAGCAGCAGGGCCAGAAGTCCAACGGGTCAGTCTGAATTGGAACTTGACTCAAGCTCTTAACCAAAACCCTAAGCTGACCCTGTAGAGAAAAGGGAGAAGGGTGTTAAAAGCAGAAGGAACAGCATATTCAGATGTGTGAAGTTGCTAAAAGAGCCTGATGAGTTGCTGGAAAAGTTGAGTCTGTGTTTGTGTGTATGTACATATATGCTGTGTGTTTGAAACAAAGGGTACCTAAAATGGTAGGACTGAGAGATGAGGTTGTGTAGGCTGGCTGGAGTCACATAGAGAAGGGCCTTGCATGTCAGGTTTAAAAGCTTGGGCTAAATTTGGAGGGCAGTGGGCAGCCATAAAAGGGCTTTGAGCAGTGGGTACATAGTCAAAATAGCCTATTAGCAGGCTTGCTTGGAAGCTGATGTGTCTGTTTGTTTGTTTGAGATGTGCAGCTTCTAAGTACACATTTATTTGGGAGCTGAGTGCCCAGTGTGCAGACAGGAAAGGTAATGGAGTTAGTGTGACCAAGCCCAGGGTGTCTTGTCTTTCAGACATACCTCATCCTCTCCTTATGGACCACTTACTCAAAAGCCTTCTCCAGGTCAGGCTCAGCACAGCAGGTGAAGATATAGGCTGAACATGAGCAGAGGACAGGCCTGTGCAGGCCCTCGGGCATATCATTCCTTAGGCTGCTGACTGGGCCTTGTGCTCCATGACCTGGCTGCCCACTCTTAACGTTCCACGCTGTTAAACCTCTGAGTCTTCAAGCCTTCAAATCCACCCATCCAGTGTGCCTGCTGGGTGCCATAAATAAGATCTCCTCTCAGAGGTCTAGGGGGTGGGGACATTGATAGGATGGATGAGATAGCCAATATTTATGCCCACTACAGAGTGTGATAAAACCATAAAGGACTACTACTTTTTAAATTGTAAACAGGGCCAGGTGCAGTGGCTCACATCTGTAATTCCAGCAATTTGGGAGGTCAAGCTGGGTGAATTGCTTGAGCCTAGGAGTTCAAGACCAGCCTGGGCAACATGGCAAAACCTCATCTCTACAAAAACACACAACAAATTAGCTGGACATGGTGGCATGTATCTGAAGTCCCGGCTACTCAGCAGGGAAGGACTGACTGAGCCCAGGGGGTCAAGGCTACAAGCAAACTGTGATCACACTATTGCACTCCAGCCTGGGTGAGGGAGCAAGACCCCATCTCAAACAAACAAGAAAAGAAGACAGAAGCAAGGAAGGAAGGAAAGAAGGAAAGAAGAAAGGAAGGAGGGAGGGAGGGAGGGAGAGAAGGCGGGAAGGCAGGAAGGCAGGCAGGTAGAAAGGAAGGAAGGAAAGAAGGAAGGAAAGAAGGAAGGAAATTGTGAGCAGACATTCAAGAGGGCCACCTAAGTCTACACCATCTACCTCATTTCCCAGGATTCTCTATCCAAGAGAGATTTGGATAGAGCCATGTTTCCAAACCAATACCTATTAATTCGATTTTTCATTCTCCACTCCCAGAATACTACAGGTATAGTAGTCATTTGTTCAACTACACGGTGGCAGCCCAGCTCCCGTGAGGAAGGGCTGGGTGACTCCAGTAACTGTGATGGAGTGGTTAGCCTCTGGACACTGGAGCAGGACCATCTGTGTTCAAATCCTACTTCTTACTAATTGTGTGATCTCAGGCAAGTGACTTAACTCCATTTTGAAAATCAAGATCATTGAGTGTTGTGAGAATTGGGTTGCTGGGTGCAATGGTGCATGCCTGCAGTCCCAGCTACTAAGGAGGCTGAGGCTGGAGGATCACTTGGGCCCAGGAGTTCTGGACTGTAGTGCGCTATTCCGATCAAGTGTCCGCACTAAGTTTGCCATCAATATGATGACCTCCCGGGAGTGGGGGACCACCAGGTTGCCTAAGGAGGGGTGAACTGGCCCAGGTAGAAAACAGAGCAGGTCAAAACTCCCATGCTGATGAGTAGTGGGACTGAGCCTGTGAATAGCCACTGTACTCCAGCCTGGGCAACATAGCGAGACCCCGTCTCTTAAAAAAAAAACAACAGAGAATTAATGGGTTAACACAAAGCCCTCAGAGCTATGCCTGGTATCTCCTAAGCACTCAAGAAATGTCAGCTATTATTATTACAGCTATTAGTAGGAGCCAGCCGGGTATGCTTATAAACAATTTCCCATACCCAGGAAAGCCAGAGCAGACACACACACTGGCTTAACCCACAGCCACACTTGGAAATGGGGGAGGGTAGGGAGCTATAACTCTGTTTCAGAGATGAGCAGAGGCTCAGATAATTCGGGGGCATTCATTCATTTAACAGGCATTTATGCTGTGATTTCCACATGTCAGGCACCGCCTCTCCTCCCACTTCAAATTTAGTGAATCCTCAGATTGGGGACTGGAGGCTAGGGACAGAGGACTGCTTATTTTAAACAAGCACCCCCTGGTGATTCTCAGCTTAGCCAAGTTGGGAAGATGATTGGATTCTAAGGTATTATGGCAAGCATCTTGTCATGTTCCAAGTTTGGACCTAGGTTTTATGGGGTATACTAACTTTTGGTGGCAGATTAGTAGTTTAGCAGTTAACAGCACAGACCCTGTAACCTGGTTAATTGGATATACATCTCAGTTTGCCACTGGCAGCATGACCATAGGTATACTTAACCTGTGAATGCCTCATCTGTAAAATGAGGCTAGTAATAGTACCTATCTCAGAGTTGTGAGAATTACATTCATTTTTTATGTGAAGTGCTTGAAAGGGTGTCTGCCATATAGTAACTATTATAAAGCATGAGCTATTATTACTAATGTACACAGTGTAGACAAACATCAGACAGAAGGCTGGGGGTGGTAGATCTGATGCTTCTTACCACACGATTGGCTCTGCCTGCAGCGTTGGCAGCGTCTGTCTCTTCAGGGAGGCTCGCCACCTGCTCCCTTCCGCTGGAAGAGTTTTCCTGAGCTGGGGAATTCCCTCCAATGGCGACAGACAGCAGCTCCCAGCATTCTGATGCCATGTGCTCTGCCCACAGCAGCATGAGAATTAGATCACGTCTTGGGCCAAGGCTGAACTGGAAGACAGGCAGGTGTAGGGGTTGGAGGCATCCACTTAGGAAGGCTGCAAATTGGAGGAGGAGTGCAGACCCTGGGGAGGCTCCTCTCCACACCCTGGACCAGTTTTGGCTGAGGGTGGTGCTGCAGACAGGGGAAGGGCGGATGCCCACAGAGGACAGGCAGGATGCCAGGATGTCTGCCAGCCCTCCAGGACGCTCATCTTGGCTTGCTGCCCTCAGGCAGGGAGCAAGCAAGTGTATTTTGTTTTGGCATTAACTCAGCAGGCTGTGGGAAAACAAGCAGGCAGGCATCCCGAACAGGGCCTGCTCCCTTCACAGGCCAGCCCATGGTGGTGACAGAACTGCCACCTCTGCATCCTGCTGTCCCTCTTCCACAACTCTTATCTCCCTCTCCTGATCCCTGCCTGGCCCTCCTTACCCAGCTCAGCCTGAAAGATCCTCTCCCTGAAAGGGGACCTCAGACTTAGTAGCATCCTGTGCCTCCCAGGCTAGGTCCTGAAGAAACTCCCTGGTAAAACCCCTGGTGTTACAGATGAGAAAACCCGGTCTGAGGGAAAGGCAGGGACTTCCCAGGTCCTCACAATCAGTAAGGAGCAACTAGGATTCTAGTCGGGCTCAATCTCCCCCATGGAAATTCCTCTTTCTGTGTTTTATTCTTTAACTTACAAATAAAACCGTCAACAAAATGACGGGAAACTGAAGGAAAACTCAACAAAGGGAAAACATTTGTGGGTTAGCACAGTTGCAAGCACTTTACATAAACATTCCCATTTAATTCTCACTGCAACCCTGCAAAGAATCATTGTCCCTCCTTTATAGACAAGGAAACCCAGCTAAAAAGAGGTTTCAAGACTTGATAAAAAAACTCAAAGCTTGGGAAAGGAGAAATCAGACATCTAACCCAGGTTTGTTTGACTTTAGACCACTGTAACCTCACCCCTCCACCAAAACTATTTTACTCATTGGTGCCTAATCACAGTGCAGCTCATGGTGGAAGGTGCTGATCAGCGTTCAAATACAGGCAGCCACTCAGCCTTCCCTGATGCGTCCCAGGATCAGCAGTTATTGTTTTTGTGGCTCCTCAGCCCTTTGCAGATTATATACCTGTTATTTCATTTAACCTGCACAGCCCTCCAAGAGGAAGACAGGACAGAATTTGTTATTCCCTATAGATACAGTAACCAAGGTTGAGAGGACAGTGATATGCTAGAGGTCACACTCAGCGAGTACCTGGCAAATATAGAATTAGCACCATGGTCTACTGCCTCCTAATGTCAAAACCATGTGCCTATCAGCTCCTATGATAGCCCTGGGACTGACTGCTCATTCGCTGTACGCCCCCACCCCCGCCACACAAAGTTGTAATAGTCCTTGGCAAGGGCAACACTTGACAGGATAATTCCTGGTCCTAGTGCCTGCTTCTTAGGGACTTGCCTCTGGCCTTAGATCTCTGCTACCACCTGGTAGGATCTGGGTCCCTGTGACCTTCCTGGCCCTGCATATCTCACTGCTGTGACCTTGGTCTATGTATTGAGATTCGGACCTCCTGGTGGGCAGCTCCTCACTCCAGAATCCTGCTCATGACTAAGCCCAGGATAAGGGGCTTATTGAGTGACACTATAGAATTCAAGGCCTCGTGACTTGAACAAACTCACTGTGTTTCTTAAGGAGAATCCCTGCTCTCTTCTGGGGCTTCAGTCTTGAAGCCTCATTCACCTATGCTGGGATTCTGTCCTGAGAGCTGACAGTGGAAGAGACAGGCACACTCTCACACCAGGCTGGCAGGAGGCTGGTGTTGAGGGAATTAGCTCAGGGAGGAGCAAAGGTGTGGGTAGGGAAAGGTGACTAGGGGTAGGAAGATGAATGGGGGTGGGGTCCATAGACCACACTGTCTGCTGATGCATCCCCAGCTGGACTTGGTGGGGCTCAGGCAGGGAATAGCTGGCATCCAGATATGCTGACAAGCATTCCTGAACAGCTGGTGCCAATGCAGGTGGGGGATAATGACACAGGGGAAGACAGAGTAGAGAGGGCTGTGGACCCCAGCTACAGAAAGGGTCAGGGATGCCTTGGTGGAGGGTGGGCAGGGGGAGTGGCAGCCACTTTCTCTGGAGAGAACCTTTGATGGAGTCAAACTGTCCTGGGTGTGTGCTCTGGACTGGGAGTAGTGTGCTACTCATTTTCTGGCCATGGTAACGGGCTGCTGTATACTTTGTCTCCCTGCAGGTTTTCCCAGGAGCCCTGGAATATCAGAATAGCTGATCTTCTGATACCTGTTCATATACCTGCTCCAGGCCAGTTTTTGATCCTAGCTCTGACTTAACCTTAGATTCATATTCCTAATGAAGTGGGAGACTCCACTGCAGCATGCTGGAGGGAGAGCACAGCTTCAGAACCAGGGGCCAGGCCTCGCTTTCCTTTACTAGCTGTGTGACCTTGGGTAGGTCATTTCACTTCTGAGCTACAGCCTGTGAAATGGGGTTATATGTATTATGAGGAGTTGTGAAGGTTGGAAACAATGTAAATAACATGCCTATATTAATGTCTGGAACATGGAAGCAGCAAAATAAAGGACAGCTGTTATTAATTTCTTTTCAGAGTTAGATTCCATCTGTGGCCTCTTTGATGGAAGGGAGCCAGAACCTGCTTGCACAGCCCCAGGGACAGGGAGCTCACTCCCTCCAGGGGCAGCTCTGCCTGGAAAAGCTCCTTCCTGAGATGCAGCTAAGTCCTGTCCCAGTTTTGTCTCTGGGGCCATAGTGCATGCTGCTCTGCACCATTTCCCCAAAGAATCTCAAGTGATCTTACTGGCAATACAGTGCTTGCCTGCATTGCAGGAGCAAGGCTCTGGAAGTCCCCAGCCCTGTTCAAAATGGTGCATTTTAAGTCAGGCTTACATAAGTCACAGAAATCCTTTCTCCTGTCCTCTGGATTCTGGAACATAATGGATTGTATCTTCCTGAGTCTGCTTATTTTCCTGGGTTAGGAACTCTCCCAATTCCTTTGAACATTCTTTATACAGGAAAATTCCTCATCGGACAACTGGGTTATGGTCTCAAGTCTATCATGTCAGGGCAAGTCACTTATCTCCACTGAGCCTCCAGTACTTCATCAGTAAAAATGAAGAAAATAATATGATCTCATGGGTAAAGATTATATTGGAAAAGTAATATGAAAGTTTAGGGTTTGGAAAAGGCACTTTGTAAGTATTCAAATAATGTTTTTTAAAAATCACGTTTTTGAAATAGGAGTTAGTAGGTAAGCCCATCTGGTATTGCCCTTAGCTCTTTATCACACTTCCAAAGGAAATCATACCAGAAAGTCAGTGCCACTCCTGGCTTCAGAATCATGGCAAATCTGGTAGAGGATACCTTCCTAAATGCATAAACTAAAGCCCCAGGGTCTGACTTCTTCTGTGAAGAGCCTCCTAAGTTCTAGGCTCACTCACTTATCTTATTCTGCAGGCGGGCACCAAGGCCCAGAGAAGGTCCACCAGATCCATGGTAGAGGCTGGATCCCATGTCTCCCAACATCTAGCACAGGCGTCCCCAAACTACGGCCCATGGGCTGCATGCGGCCCCCTGAGGCCATTTATCCGGCCCCCTGCCGCACTTCAGGAAGGGTCACCTCTTTCATTGGTGGTCAGTGAGAGGAGCACAGTATGTGGTTGCCCTCCAACAGTCTGAGGGACAGTGAACTGGCCCCCTGTGTAAAAAGTTTGGGGATGCCTGATCTAGCCCCTTTATACTCCAGTGCTCACTTCCTAAGAAGAGAGGTGAAGGGAGGATAATCTCTGGGCCAGACAAGTTGCACCCAGGACTAGGATTCAGTAAATCTTTGTTAAGCACCTGCTATGTGCGTGACACTGCATCCGGGCCAACTACTCTGTTACCTCTCTTCCACTAGCCCTGTGTTGCTCATGGAATGGTTGGTCTGGAACTCAGTCTTGATGAAAGCTGATTCTATCTTGCTTAGCTCTAGAACCCCAGTACTTGCACAGGCTGGTAACAAAGCAGTTCCTTAGCAAGAATTTTTTGAATGAATGATCAATCAATAAGCACTTATTAAGCACTACATGCCAGGCCCTGAGGTAGGAGAAATTCTATTTAATACAGCAAGCCTATGAGGCCAGCATTATATCTCCATTTTACAAGTGAGGAAACAAGGCTGAAAAAAGTGAATTGACTAGCACAAGGCTTCACAATAAATTGGTGGTGGAGCTGAGACTAGAGCCCAGGCTAGGCTACCTGTGGCCTGGGCTCTAGCTGCTGCCCCACAGCTCTCAGGGTCTTGGGTCTCCATCCACCTGTTCCCTTGCCCCAGGCCTTCCTTGATTTAATTAAGAGTTCTGGTGAAGGGCTTTTTTTTTTTTTTTTTTTTAAATACTTTTTTTAAATTTTAAGGTTCAATTCAGGTAGAAGAGCTAACTTTTGAAGGCAGAAAATAGCAAGACTAGCCTCCTAGTTCATATGCAGCTCTGACTATCCTAACTCATTGTAAACAACTTGGGTCCAAGTTCCACCTTTTCAATTTCTGTCTTTGTGGTCATCTGGCAAGTTACTTGGGTCTCTCCAGGCCTCATTCACCTTCCTCTTTGGCAGGACCGCACTTCTGAGAACAGCTGTCTGGGGGGGCTCAACTTCTGAAAACAGTCAAGCAATCCAGCTCAGCCTCCACACAGCCCCGGGACTCAAAAAACTCCCTGGGCATGGGGAAGAGGTAATCTTCTTCTGAGGACTCCAAGGGAGGCCGATAATCGTAGATGGTCTGGACAGAGCAGGAAGGTGTGCGTGGTGGTGGGGGGCCCTACTTAGATAAGCATCCTCACTGGCAGATAAGGAAGCCCGAGCTCACCTAGCCTGTTAAGGGGTAGGCAAAATGAACCGGCACCCAGAGATCCTGACTCCCAGACAAGGGCTTCCTCTACGGCCCCTCTTGCCTCCTCTACTTTTCCTCGTGCTTATTATCCTGCACCTGTTTCTGTTTTAAAATAACCCACAGAACCTTCCTGACGTAGAAATTCTAGTCCTGCTGTGTGACCTTCAGAAAGGCTTCCGTCTAAGGGCTCTTGCCTCCCCGTCTGTGAAATGGGGGCCTTGGCCTTAACATTCTCTCGACTCCCTCTGAGCGAAGTCAGTGATCTTTGACTTGAACGCCCTGCAGTAGAGAGCCCCTGCTTCCTTTCCAGGGCAACTGCCTTTCCGCCCTACCATCGCAACGGCCTAGCACCTGCGGCCAGCCGCAAAGCGACTTGTCCTCGCTCGCCCCACTCGCGCCCATCTAGCTGGAAGGGAGAGAAGGGTGTTGAGGGACTGAGAGGAAGCAAATGCCGGAATTCTCGTATCCCACAGGCATGCTAACCCCCTCCCCACTGCAAACATTTCCCCACGAGCGTCGCCCCCCACCCCTTCCACACATACACAGAAACTGCAGCCGCAAAGGCAGGCAGAAGGCGGGGGTGGCCTGTGCGCGTGCGTCGGCGCGGAGCCCTCTCCCGCCCACGTGCGCGCCCCCGAACTGAGGCGCGCGCCGCGGCGAGCTGGCGGGAAAGCGCGCGGGAAGCCCCCAGCTGGCTCCCAGCGTGGGGGAGGGAGGCCAGGAGGCGTCTGGAACGTGCCACTGTCAGAGAGAAAGGGGGGATTTTCGTGTGACGCTGGCGTTTTTTACACCTCCCAGCCACCGACCAATCCGTTAGTTCCCCCTGTCTCCCCCCGCGGTACGAAGTCCCGTGCCGTGCCCTCTCTCTCTCCCAGCAGCCCGGGCCGGCCCCTCGAACCCGGCTCTGGACGAAGCGGTTCCCTCCGCCACCGGAGCGGGGCGCTGCCCCGCGCGGCGAGGCCGGAAATTCCCGCGGCCAGAGTGGTGGAGCCCTAGCGGGGAGCGCGGCGCCACCTTCCTCCTCCCGGGCGGGCGGGGGCGTTAGGCCCAGTGAGGGCCGGGCCGCCTCAGTGGGTGGGGTGGGGTGGGGTGGGGGCCGCTGCGTCCGCCAGGAGCGGCGGCGCGGGTGGCGGACGGGGAGCGCGGACAACGCGGCTGCGGCTCACCCGCCGCCCAGCCGGCCGAGACCCTCGTGCCCCTGCTCCTGGGCCCCCGCCCCCTCGCCATCTCCGCCTCCTTCCTCACACACCCCCGGGCAGCCCGGGCCCCAGGCCTTCCCGGCGCTCCTCCCCCTTCTTCTCACACTCGCTCTTTGGCCGGGGTCCTCCTGCCGCCCGCCGGCCTGCTCCCTCCGGGGCAAGTCCTGTTTCTTAGGCTCTCTTTTCACACACACGCGCTCGCTGGGCCATCCCTTCCTCTCTGGCCCTCCTCCTCCTGCTTCTTGCTAACGCTGCCGTCGGGGAGGATTGATGTCCCTTCAGCATCATGCAGCCGCCGCCGAGGAAGGTAAGGGCGCAGTTTGGGGGCTTTGGGGTTCGAGGTGGGGGATGCGTAAGGGGAACGCGGCTGGGGCGACCGCTGCGCCCCCTCCCCCTTCCGCAAGGGGCCGTGACCGCCCTCGCCTTGGGCTTGTCACTGACTTGCCTCCGGCTCCAGGCGGGGGGCCGGCGTGTGACAGAGGGGCGGTCGGGGCTCGTCCCTTCTACGCTGGAGACCCCCAGGCATTTCACAAGAGTTTCGGGTGTGCGTTTGTGTGTGCGCGCTTGGCAATGCTGTCCGCTGCAAAGTGCATTCTTGGGGCTGCACCGTGGGGGAGGCGGGGACGCCCCTGCAGCTTTGCAGAGCCTTGTGCGTGTGTGATTAGTCTGCACCAGCTTTGAGCCCCCCAGTTGCTTGTCGCCAGCCCCGCCCGTTTGCACATTTGCGGGGGTTTTGTTTCTTAGGGTTTGGCCTGCTTTTCCCACGGGGCGGCCGAAAAGAAGTTGGAATAGTCACCGCCTCCCCAACCCAAGGGAAACAAATTAAGGATTGACGGGTCCTGCCTCGCCCTCGGCTGAGGGGCGAGGAGGCTGTAGTGCTATCTAGTGAAAAGCGAGGACCCGGCCCGGGAAGTGCGTGGCGTGTGCACTGCGATCCGAGCTTGGGTGGCCAGGGTGGGAGTGACGGGTGCACCCGGTTTGTCAGCAGCCTCCCCGCTGTGCCCTTCCTCAGGTTTCCCAGGGGCCGAGGCTGTGTCCTTGTCTTTGTAATCCTACAAATGGATACCGAATATCTACTCTGGGCACTGGGTGGATGAGGCGGTTCTGTCCTCCCCTCGTGGGCAAACGTTTGCCTAACGCCTAACTCACCCGTGTCTGCTGTCGCTGCTTTCTTTCTTTCCTAATCCGGGTTTCTCCATTTAAGTGAGTCTTTCTTTCGAACATGTACTCCCACCCATCCTGGTGGTCCTGCTCCTAAGGCCGAGATTCCAGACCGACCATAACTTCAAACCCTGGGGTCCCGGCCTGGAGGGCGGGTGGGCGAGGCTCTCTGGCCAGCAGGCATTTGCTGTTCTCGCTGTTTGAAGTGGAGCCTCTACCGGGAACAGCTTGCCGGGGTAGTTTAAAAGCACTGCAAATGCTGGAAGGTCACTTTTGCTTTCTCCTTTGTGAGAAAGAGATTGTGATTTGATGCGCTATCAGCAAGTCGAGGGCATCATTCTGAGACAGTGTGCTTTTTCGCAGCCATTATGGAGTAATTTTTGTAGTCGATTCATGCATATTATCATGATCGTGTAAATATTGGTCATTAAGTATTATGCATTCTTAGGCTCCCAACCCCCATCCACAGTCTGCTCACCTCTCCTGGTGGTTAATGTCTTTGAATCCTTTTTTTGAAATAGAAGACAGGCTCTTTTAAAACTCTAGGAAGACCTAGACATGGATTGAACTTGTGCATGAAATGGAACAACTGGCAGTTTATTTTGCACGTCTTTAGTTTGTAATATTTATAGTCGTGTATTTTCATTCAACTTCTGTTCAGGCTAGTTGGCTTATTTTTCATTAAATAAGTACCTTTAATAAGTAAAACTAGATGGCGAATAATGGATTTATGGTCTTCAGGGGAGAGGTGAGCAAGAGACATATATTCTGAGCAATTTTTTTTGGGTTAAATTTGTAAAATAAGCAATTTTTTTGGGTTAAATTTGTAAAAAGGCCTTAATAAATATATGGTGCATTTCAGGTGAAAGTTACACAAGAACTGAAAAACATTCAAGTTGAGCAGATGACAAAACTTCAAGCCAAACATCAAGCAGAATGTGATTTGCTTGAAGATATGAGGTAAGGCTATAGTAAATAGTTCAAGGACTTCTATTTCTCTGTTTCAAAGAACCTTTGAGTTACCAAACCCCAGGAACTGATGATGGAATTTCCTTTTGGATTTCCTGCTTTAAGTCTGTTAGAACTTTGACTCAGCTGGAAATTAGAACTGGAACTAACACAATACAAACTTTTTCCTTCAGTGAGGAAACCTGTAATGCACACATGATATTGAAGAAAAAACAAGGACCTTAAATTAAGTCTTATTAGTCAAATTATAATAATTAAAGATTCTTGTTTAAATAATCTTTCCCTGAAATTGTAACAATCATTTTATTAACCTTAACAGTTTAACCAGTTAGATTTTAAACCAACACCTGTGGTTAATGGTTAATATCTGGGGGTGAGCCAGTCAATCCCAGATGATTATATGCTCTCGTTGGGTTAGAATATGACAAATACAACTATATCTTTGAGTGCCAAATTTAGTGGGAGGTGTGTTTATCATATTTTACTTTATTATTGAGGTTACTCATATTCATAGTCAAGATAACTTTGAAATAGCTAAGACATCTTGCTAACATTGTGAAAATCAGTATCTTTTTTTACTGGAGGGACGGATGACATTTTAATGAAAGAAATACCACTTATTTAGCAGTCTTTTAATACAGACTGATGGTTCAAAGATTCTCGTCAAGGGTGGAAGATGATTTGCTTGTTGAAATAAGAGTGGCTGCAATTTGTATTTCCCTTTAGTAATACATTTATCAAATTGGAATTGGGTGTGTAAGCCTCATCAGTTACCTATTTTTCTGGCGGTACACTGACTTCATGTTGGTTTCATGAAAAATATTAACTCTATGGTGTTATGATAGAATTATGTATTTGGATTGGTGTTTGTAGCCCAAAGATTTTAGTTTTAAGAATTTCCTCTTTTCCTCTCCTATACTTAACTAAGGCACTATAAGCATTTCTGCTGTATACCTGTCTTTAGGGTTTCTGACTGAGGCATGTAAATCTATTCTCATCCAACCTGGATATATCAAGATTGTTGTTTTCTGAAACTGAAAATTATAATTTTAATTCTTTGTCTTCCCCCTCATTATGACCATAAAAAAGTATTTAGACTTAAAAATTCCTATGCGAGGTTGTGCACGGTGGCTCACGCCTGTAATCCCAGCACTTTGGAAAGCTGAGGCAGGCAGATCACCTGAGGTTAGGAGTTCGAGACCAGCCTGGCCAACATAGTGAAACCCCCGTCTATACTAAAAATACAAAAATTAGCCAGGCATGGTGGCGCATGCCTGTAGTCCCAGCTACTCTGCAGGCTGAGGTAGGAGAATTGCTTGAACCCAGGAGGAGGAAGTTGCGGTGAGCTGAGATTGGTGCCACTGCACTGCACTCCAGTCTGGGCAACAAAGTGAGACCTTGTCTCCAAAAAAAAAAAAAAAAAGAAAATTTCCATGTGAGATATCTGAAACTCTTGATACGGTTAAAAACAGAAGGTTTTTAACATACTAAGTGAAGTAAGAAATTTCTAGATGAAGAAACTATTAAATTTTCAGAAGCAGTTCAGGAAGGCAGAATTAGTGTGTAAGTGAAGAACCCATGTGGGGTATGGGTAGTCAACAGCTATAATAATTCCTGTTGATTGTATCTTCTAAAGATTTCTTGATTGCATTTTCCCCCATTTGTGGCTTGGTGCAGGAGCTTATGGTTAAAAATATGGACATTGGAGTTAGATAGTCCTTTGTGTACTAATATCTGTGCTGACTTGTGGAAAATGAATTAATCTTTGTAAACTTAAGTTTTTTCATTTGTAAAATGGGGCAATATGGGCTCTGTTACTCAAGGTTGTATAGATCAAATGAGAATGCATGTGAGATGTGGCACACATCTAAGCTAAGTTGATAAAGTCTGTTGTTCCTGCTGTTGTTGCTTAGTTTGTATTCATGATGATCCGTTACATTTTGCTTGCATTATAGTATATCCTAATTATTGGAGTAGTGTCCTTATGTCTTCTATCTCCCATCTCTCCTTTTAAATATGTCTTCCACATTGCTACCAGTTAGCTTCCTAAAAACATTACCGTAGGCCAGATGTGGTGGCTCATGCCTCTATTTCCAGCACTTTGGGAGCCTGAGGCAGGTGGATCATAAGGTTAGGAGTTGGAGACCAGCCTGGCAAAGATGGTGAAACCCTGTCTACTAAAAATACAAAAATTAGCTGGGCACAGTGGTGGGCACTTGTAATCACAACTACTTGGGAGGCTGAGGTAGGAGAATTGCTTCAAGCTGGGAGGTGGAGGTTGCAGTGAGCTGAGATCCTGCCGCTGCACTGTAGCCTGGGTAACAGAGCACAACTCTGTCTTAAACAAACAAACAAACAAACAAAAAACATTATTATAGATTATTCCTCTGTGGCCTTCTGGATAGAGGCCAAACACCTTGTTATAATATATATGGTTCTCTGCAACCCATCTGCAAGCTTCTTTTCCTGGCTTAATTTACTACCATTTCATGCCCATGCATCCTTCCTCTTTCTTCCCCCTGCTCTGGTCACTTGGGAGGTCAGGTTGTCCAATTGTGCACTCTACATTCATGCTTTTGTGTGCGCTGTTGTCTTTGTCTGGTGGTACCTTCCTCTCACTTTTTCACTTGGCACATTCTTGGTTACCAGTAACTGCAAGTTGCTTGTTCTTTGTGATCTCAAAGGATTTTGATTTTGCATATGCTCTGGCATCCTCCCTCATGTGCAGTCTTTGGGGTTATGGGCTAAGTATTGCTCATTTTCTTTATACCCTTTGTTTAGGCTGGGAGAATTGTCAAATGAATGTAACTGGCTATATTTAAATGTATCTTACTTTTTCTTAGGTGAGATACTGTATAAACTCTGTAGGGGGCTGTAGGGTCATCTGTAGAGCTTGTGTTACATACTTTAGTTAATTTGAGCACTTGAAATACACATCCTGTTTGTTGTAGAGTATACAGTATGTAAAGGTGGAGATTGTTGGTGCTCCAAGTATTAACAGGTTTTTTTTTTCTTTTACAGGAGTCATTATGTTCTTCTGTTTATATTAAATTAATGGAATTAATCCTTTTACTTTGAGTTGTGAATAGGATACTGTATTACCTGCTAAAACACGAGTTTAGGTTTCTGATTTACTTTTTTTTTTTTTCAATGACGAT